CACATTACAGTATTGGTTTATGTAAAAAAATCTGAGGGTTTAATGTCACTTTAAGGTAAGTGAGGAAAGGTGGGATGTAACAATAACTAATGTCAATGCCCACATTTATGACTATGCTAACCCAGATACACTTAAAGGAGAACGATGAGGTGACTGATTTCCATTAATCCTCATAGTTAGAGCCGACGTGTGAAACTGTCACACATCAATTCTATATAGATCGGTAAGTGAGCGAGCACTTACCGCTCATCTCCCTGCAAACAGCGGTGACTGTCAGTCACCGCTCCCCGCAGGGATTTCCCCTCTCCGATCCTCCAGCTCCGACTGGAGGAACGAATGGGGAGGGGGCGGGCACAGCTGGATCTGCCTCTAGATAGGCAGAACCCACTGTCAATGAGTCAGCTGGGTGGATCTCAACAGTATTGTCTGGATCCGTCCCGGCTGCAGCGCTCTCAGTATAGAGCGGGCAATATCCCACTATATACTGAGCTTTGGGTCACGGGAGGAGGTTAGTATATGCCCTCCCGTGACCCTAAAGAGAACGATGGGATAAAAAGGTCACCCCATAGTTCTCTTTTAACCACTTGCCGTCCTCCCGTAGTAAAAAAAACGGACGGACGGCACTGCAGCATTGGCATGGATGTCAACTGGTTAAAGAAGAAGTTTCAAGTTTTAGGTGAAGAGGAGATGAACAGAGCTCGTCCTGTTATGTGTAATGTTTTCTGTTCCGTGTTTCCCATTATAGATTTTTTTTCCTCCTTAGCGGATTTCGGGGTAGATCACCCTATATGCTCCCTTCTCCCCCTTTCATCTTTTTTTTCCTATTTTTCTTATTTCAAACTGCAATTCTCCAACTTTTGTAGTGTCCAGTCTCGGGAGGGGCAATGCCAGAAAATAAGGGGTTGCTTACAGAACAGATTATTGCACTAATACCTTACGTTGCAGTTGTTTGTTATGTATAACCGCAATTGTGCCTTTTTTTACACATGCTACCACTTTTGTGTGCACTTTTGGAATCTCTGCCAAACATTTGGCACATTACCGTTATTAAAATGGGTCTGTCATCTACACTGCACATTACTGTGTTTTATTGCTGTGGAGCTTTGTGGCGCAATGCTAGGCTGTGACCCTGGCAGTTCTGCCACTGTATAGAGGACTACAAATCCCAGCAATACATTATACAGCAATGCAAAATAACACCAGCTATAAAGGACTAAAAATCCTAGCAATACTTTATGCAGCAATACAGAATGGCGCTGGCTATAGAGGACTACAAATCACAGAAATAAATTATGCAGCAATGCAGAAAAATACCATCAGCTATAGAGGACTACAAATCCCAACAAAACATTATACAACAGAATCATAGTATATGAATTTGCTACATACTCTGTGCTGCCGCTCTGCTCTGGGTTGCGGGTCTGATGTCTCAGGCGGAGGGGTGTGGTGGAGGGTCTCAGAAGGGGTGCGGAGGCTGTCAGGAGGTGTGCGGAGGCTCTCAGGAGGTGTGCGGAAGGTCTCAGAAGGGGTGTAGAGAGTCCCCAGAGGAGGAGATGTGGGGGCAGCAGAACAGCTTCCCAAGAAGGCTGCCGAAAGGTCCCCAGCAAGAGTGGGACCTAACACAGCCATATCAATGTAAAAATTTAAAGCGTCGGTATTAGTATTTTGCATAGGGGCATTTTTACAAGTACTCCTACTCGTAAACATGCCCAGTATTGGCACCAATAACGATACTCAGATCAGTGCATGCCCAGCTGAAACTTTTTCAGGCTTCACCATGTGCTCATCTGAGGGATATGTTGGCACAACAAGCAGTGGGTGACACCAAGCACCCCCAAGGACTACAAGTGCAGATGCCCCATGTTCTCAGGAGAAGATCAGTGCAGTATAGGTGTATATATCCAGGAGCTGCCTTGTCCTCCGGATTCCCTTTTCATGCTCAGATTCCCCCAGGTGACACTGACAAGCCCAGGAGCCGCAGCAGTCTGGGAGACAGTAGTAACACAGGTCTTTCCTCCCTGCAGAACAGAGCAGAGAAGGCTGTGTGCAACACTACCGGCCATAGCTCCACTTACTTGTGCACCCCTACGTATGCCACCCCACATCGTCTATTCCCCCGGCCGCTGCCTTGTCCTCTCAGGTGACTGTGACAGACACAAGCACCGAAGCAAGTGCGCACGCACCCCTCGCCAGCTCACTCAGCCGAACTCAGTCCTGAACCTGGGGATGTTAGCAGCCGAGGAGCGGGGACTTCACTGAGAGCACCGAGATTGGCGAGACAGCGGCGGTACAGAGATGTGACTGGGCAGAGAGAGGTACTGGCCCTGGTGGAGGGAAGGAACGGCAATTTTCTCGGGGGGGGCG